TATTTTCATTTCATTTCGTAATTTGAACACAATTTGAATTAAAACTGATCTAAACTTATTCAAGTCTGTCATACTTGTATATTAAAATTTATAATATGACATCATTTAAAGAATATTTTTTTTTGCATATTTTTCAATAATAAATAAAATGTAAAATAATATATTGTATATTTAAATATACATATGTATAAAAATATATAAGTAAAAATTATATGTTAAAATATGCAATAATATTATATAGATATCTATATAGAGTTTAAACCTACACATATATTTTGTGTATGTCATTAAGTGAGTGTGTTTATTGAAAAGATGAAATAATTTATAACTATGAAATAAACATTTACGCCACGACAAATTTTTTTTTTTTTTTAAATAAATTTATAAAAAGCTCTCTTTATTTTAATTTTTTTTTTTCAAATAGTATTTTACATATTAATGTAATTTGTCAAGATCTTCAAATATGCATATGTACGGGATGTTTACTTTCGGCTAAATAAAATTTACGAAAAAGTGAAGAAAAAATGTCACAACTGACGTTTGTTCTGACATTTATTAACAGTATATTTTGACAAATCATCACAAACAGATTTGGTCGACACGTCCAAATTTTTTAAATTTACTTCGGAAATCAGATGAATAATGCCCTATTCGTTCACGAAGTGCTCGAAAAAGTGGCAAAAAATTTGACAATTATATTTGACGTTTTTCATTTTTCGATAAGTATAAGAAGATACAAGAAAATTTTGATTGAAAATTAAATTTTTTTGCGATTTTTTAAAATTTCAAATTCAATGCTTGTCTTCTCCACAACGGAAAAGGACACTATAGTAAGAATGCAATTAAAGTAAAAAACAAATTTCATTTTTTGGTTAACACCCTATATACATAACTTTGGAATTTATATATATCTCTGTATAATATTCAAGCTTACAAATTAAACTTGAATATAATTTAAATGCTTGTTGTTTTATTATTTACATAGGTAAATATACAAAACTATTTTACGATATACCGTAGATATACCGTATATAGGTCTACATATCAGACATACAATATTTTATACTTAAATAAATGTGTTTTTTTTATTTTTTCAATCAAGAAATGTGCTATATTTGACCATGACTCTTTTAATCAAGAATTGAAATTATTATTTGAGGTTTTAAGATTGTTGTTTTTTTTTTTTCAAGAAAAGAGATAATTTCGTATTTAATGATGAGATCAATGGTTTTCTATATTTTTTTTCTTTGTTGTTTAATTTTTTTTTTTTTTAATTTATTTTATTGTTGTTTTAATTATCCTTTAAGATGATTTTATATGTAGATAATTTTTTTAATTGTATGTAGACAGAATTATAATTAATTTTTTTCCTCTCTCTTTGTAATTAATTTAATTTTAAAAAATATTTTTAAATGAATTGAAAAAAAAACCGAAATTTCGAACACTGGCCATTGAAATGCTTACCGCAATAAAAAAATATCTACAATGTTTATTTTCTTTAATATTGTATTATTTTGTTGGTGGTTGAATTTTATTTCGTTAATTTTTATGCTTAGATTTAAGTAATATTGAATTTTTTTTGATATCGTTTTAAAAATATTGTGATCAAGTCTTATAATTCTTGTGAAATTGTCAGACAGGTAACCCACCACATGTCTATAATTTGAGTATTTTTTTTTTAATCATCTCAATAAAATTAAATAAATTTCAATTCGTTATTGTTGTTTTAGGTTTTTCGTTGTTCTTACCCTCTTTATGAAAATGTTGCCAACTTTTTTCAATGGGGTATATCGTATAAATTTTAAGTTAAATTACATAACATTCACATGCTTTTTCTTTCAATTTCTCATACAATTGTTTTCATTTTTTTTTTTCTGATACAATTCAATTCTTGATTAAAAATGATAGGTGGTGTTACCTCTGTTTTTATCATCTTATCATCATGATTCGTATAAATCCCTGTATTAAAATTTATACGAATGACTAAATTTTGTGAGTAAAATTTAAAAACGTGTAGATCAAAATTAAATTATATGAATGAAAGATGAATTTAATTTTGATAGTTAATTAAAAAAAAACTTGATTTTGATTCAATAAAATAATTTTTTTTTAGTACACATACCAATACTCGATCGAACTTTTAAGTTGGACATTGAAGCTTTTTTAGGCAATAAAGTAAATATTCGATAAAATCATATGTGATAATGATGAGAAATATACTGGGAAAAAATTTAAATCAGACAACTTGGCAATTTTGTGTTTCAAGCAATAAAATATTTAGAAATGTTAAAAAGAAAATTTATTAAAAAAAATATTCCATAACCTCACATATCGTTGCAATGAAATATTGGAAATGATATCATTGAAAATTTACTATTAAAATTCGTAAATTTTTTTTTAATTTGAATAAAAATTGGTAAATGCAATATTAAAACTAATTTGATTAATTTGTACTTACAAATATTTTTATTATTATAAAAATGTTATTGAACACCTTAATCTAAACAGAATAGAATTAAGGTTGAATTAAATTACAATTTAATAATTATATAACAAAAAAAAAAAAGAGGTAAAGAATAAAATAAAAAAAAAAAAATGTTTGTTTTCGGCGCCTACGTACGAGTACTTATTGTTGAATTATTTTTTTTTTTTATTAAAATACTTCAGACAATTTATTTTTTCATTGACATTTATGACATTTCATAACTGTAATTATAAAATCATTTACTCATTTAACATTTTGTTTTTTTTATTTGTCAATTTTTGTTCCTTTTCAATTTGACAGATGTATTAATATAATAATAAATTTAAATGTAAAATAGTTTTTGATTTGCATTAGAAATATGGGGGAATATTTACGAGTAAGCTCATATTATGGTTTTAATCAAACAAACAAAAAAAAAAGTGTGTTAATTTGAAAATTTTAAGCAATTAAATTTTCATATAAAAATTATAATTTTAATTCACTACTTTAATTTGAATTTATTACACAGAAATATTTTACATGCGATGAAGTGCAAATTGCCGACTTACATACTTGATTTTTATGATGCAATCGTATTATTTTTTCTGCTTGATTATTGGGCGTTTTGAAGAATGTTGTTGTTTTTATTGTATTTGAAATATTCTGAAAGCATTTAAATTTTGAAAAAAAAATTGTGAATTTATTATGATAGTTCTTGTAAAAATTCTTCTAATTGTGCAAGTTTCTATGCACAATTAGAAGAATTTTGCTTTATAATAAAAATTATAAAGCTAGCACAAAAAATTGTAAGTCTCAGAGTATTGATTCTAATTTTTTAATTTTCTACGAATGAGAAATTTTTCTCGTTGAGTCGATAGTTTTGGCTTAAGTTATCTGTTGCTAAATTGTGCTACTTTTAAATGCTGTTGGTTGTTCAATATTTATACCAAAAATTTAAAATAGTGAAGTAATTTATATAAGACAACACTAATTAAATGTAATTATTTCCTTTCCTTTTTAATCTACCGCTAAATTTCTTAATTTTAACTTAGTAGGTATATATTATATTTTCAAACCTTGTAAGAAATTTTGACAATTAAATAAAACCCATTTTAATTTAATTTAACTAGACAACAAGCGATGTAGTTCAAAAATAAAATATAAAATTGTTCTTAAAATATTTTAATTAATAACGGGAAGAAACAAACAAAACAGAAGTTTACATCTGGATGATATAGCTGTAATTTTCCTTTTCCAACACTTACTCGTATATATGATATAAATATATTATATATAAATATATGTAACTCGTATATATGATCGTATTCAATTCTATGTTTATTATTTATATTCCACATTTATTAGTTTATTTATATTTAAATCTCTGACAAAGCTGTCTAAGTCGAGTTTGGTAGTTCCGATCTATTCAAATTTGTAGATTTCAAATTATATTTCGAAAAATTTGAAAATTACCCCATTAAAGGGGGTGTTGGTGAAAATTAATTTAAGAAACTCTATATAAAACTTAGCAGATTTTTTAAATCATACGATGTTTTTCTAAAAAATTCAAAATTTTTTTGATGATCATTCAAGGGTTTGAATATGGGGTATTAAAAAATGTACTATATAATATTTGGCTTACTGCCACACAAATAATTCAAACGCTTTTCAATATACAAATATAACGACGAGTTGAAACATGTTTGTCAATCTTTTTTTTTTTTTTGAAGATATAAATAAATACTTTTGTATTTTAGGGATTTTTTCCTAAACGTACATATACGTACATATACATACAGCTCTTATATGAAATTTATGTATATGAATGAATCAATAAACTGGCGACAAAGTTAAAATTAATTCTGTATGTGTGTAGTTCTTTTTTTTAATTTTTATATCTATGCTGGAATAAAAATAACAAAAAAAAAAAAAGGAGAACAAATCTTTGACATTTATTTAAATTTGTCATTGTCGCTTTTTTTTTTTCTCAATTTATTCCATCTACAAATTCCCATTACATCATTAATTTTTTATTAGAAAGGAACATTAGAATTAAAAATCCGTCGAACCTATACAAGAAAGGTAATCTAAATGATTTGTAAAAATTTGTAATATTGTGCTGTGAAATTAGTTTTTTTTTTTTTATACGTTCTTGTTCCTCAAATCTCCAAATTAAATGCATTTTTCATCAATTTAGTTTTATTTTTTACATCTAATGTGAGTGAAAAAAAATTAAAATTTTCAACTTTAAAATTTTATTTTTTATTATTTTTTTAGAATTATTATTAAATTAACGACTTTTTTATTACATTAATTAAGTGTTCTAACATAGTATAATATGAGAACAAATTCTAAAAAAATTAAATAGGAAAAAAGAAGAAAAAAGAGAAAAAAAAATTCTGTTTTGTTTTTTTTAGAAAAAAATTTTGTTTGCCTGCTTTTAATGAATAAAATTGTTTTTTAAATGAATACCAGTCTTAAAATCATAGTGTTGTTGTTTTTTACAAAAAAACAAAAGCGAAAGTAAAAAAAATGAAAATACAAAAATTTTAAAGGAAATGTGAGAAATTTTGTGCATTAAAAATGAATAAAAATTTGTCAATTAAAATTTTATATAATAAAGTGGAAGAAAATTTAATTATTTAAGTAACAACACAATTCTAAAACAAAAAAAAATTAAAAAAAAAATGGTGCTAAATTTAAGTCATGTCCCACCTTTTCAATGGAGTCTTAAAACAATTCCAGAAATGCCAACTGTTGCTGTTAATGATACTTATATTGTAAGATTTTAAATTTTTTAGTTTTTAAATAATTTTTAATTGTAAGTGCTAAGTTTATAATCAGCTCCCAGAAAAACCCTAAATTATGTAGGGAGTCCTATAAAAATTAAGAACAGTAATTATCTTTGGTTACCCAAAAAAAAATTTGCTGTAACCATCAACAATTTCATAACGACATCTATTAATAAACTACGGTAGGCTAGTCACCTACCTAGCTAACTCTCTATGACTATAGAAACTAGGGCATGATAGATATCATGCACTAGCACTATACTCCTCCTAGGAGTAAAGAAGGGAAAAAAAAATCTATTAATAAAAATATAATAAAAATTCAGATACCCTCCAATAATCTCTATTTCAGCTTGTGTCGGAGAGAGCAAATAAATACAATGACAATTTCACAAATTCAATTGTCAAACAAAATACGCATATATGTATGTGCATATTTAAATTTATGCACATATATATTTTGTTTTTTTTAATATTTTATATTCGCTATATTGCATTTATAATGTTTAATATTCTTATCCACTTCATTAAATACAATTCAATTTTTAATTATAATTTTATACATATTATTAATTAAATATTTCAAAAATATTATATTTTAAAATACAATACTATACTAGCCTTTATAATTTTTATAAATTATTATTGTAAATGAACTTTTACGAACTATTCCATATACTTAACTAATTCCAATCATATAAATTTTGTAATTAACTTATTTGACTTATTACATAATCAAAAATATATTAAGCTCAAATAAAAAAAATTATATTTTTTTTAACTTTTATAAATCACAGATCTTGAAATTTTAAACTTAAATTATATAAGTATAGCAACTGATCAATAAAAATATGAGAATTTAATTAATTAAAACAAATTTATAACTCTTATGTCACTTTATAAATTATTTAGCAAAACTTTTCAATTAACCTAATAAAAAGAAAAATAGAAAAATATCAACATACCATTTAAAAAAATAAATTAAAAAAAAAATTAAGATTAATGGATTTCAGTTCTTTTTGATGTATTATTGTTGTAACACAGAAAATAATTTCATAGAGAAAATTATTTCGAAACAAAATAATTAAGTCCCAATGTAATGTCAGTAATGTCAAAATTTATAAAAATAAAACACTTATATTGTATTTTACTGTACGCATTTGTTTTTTACATTATACTCGTAACGACTACTCCAATACATACATAAATCATGTTATTTTTTCACTCAAATAATAAATTTAAAAATTTTATAGAAATTTTTTTTTAAATAATAAAAAATCAATATGAAAAGAATTGAAATTTTAATTTTCCATATGAAATAATGCTTATACATTTTGTAATAATTGATTTTAAAATTAATTTTTATATTAATTTTGAAATAAGATTTTAAAAAATCACTCAAAAATATTGGAGTAGTAGATTTATACTATTTATATCATATTTTTTAACTCATATTGTCATTGATGCCATAATTTTTGCCATAATAATTTTCACTTAAAGTCCAAAAAATTTAATTTCGTAATAATTATTATTTTTATATCATAATTATTAATTCTGGTTTGAAAACAATATGGTAACATTGAAATATAAATATTATTTTATTGTTTTTTTTTGCATAATATGAGATTATGATGACCTTTTTATAAAAAGCCGGTTCAATATTTAATAAAATATACAATAAGAGACAATAATAAATAAAAAAAGAAAATTATAATCAAAAAATGAAAAATTTATTAAAATTAAAAAAAAAAAAACAAAATATAAATTTTTTCTTTCAAAATCATTTTTATATCAACAATACTTGTTAAATGTTGCCATCTGGACCATTATAAGTTTTATATACATATATACAATTTGTGTTATTGTGAATTTCAAAACAACGGAAGTGAATCAATTCTGCGGTGACCAAAATACTACAATAATGAATTTTTATTGTATTTTAAGAGCATTTCATATAAAATTTATAAAAATAATTTACAATATATAAATACAAATAGAAAAAAAAAAGAATTAATATAATAATATGAAAAATGACAAATTTATGAATAAGTATGTAGATTTTTTTTTTTGTGAACACTAAAATAAACGCATAAGTGCGTGCACATTTTTTATTTCGTTTTGTTTAATGAAAATACTGGAAGGTAAGAAAGAGATTGAATAAAGTTATAAGCACATTATTATTGATTAATATTGAATACTGAATTTGTGTTAAATACTTTACGGTGGAACATTGTGATGGGTTGTATATCTGAAAGAAGGACGATGATTTTCTTTATAGAATTCTGTATTGCAGTTATTATTATATCTCAAACTTGAATTATGCAGCAATAACACTTGATTTTATTAATGTTGTTAATTGGAATTGGAAATTCGAACTCTTTTATATAATCAAAATAATCAGGTAACAGAGCATTATTTCAACCTATATTGCTAAATTTCATGCGTCACGTAAACATCTCTCCTCTATCTAGAGGTTTGGACTTGATAAACTGCTTAGTGGTTATTTAGCTCAAAATGTTCTATTCACCTTATTTGTTGAACATTGTTTCGCACATTTGTTTCATTGAATTATAAAAATGATTTACTAAAATTCAAAGTTAATATCTTTAATAAACAATTAAAATTTTATCAGCTAACTCATTTAATGATCACTCATTATTTGACAAATTAATTAATTAGATTACAAAAAAAAAAAGAACATATTAATACTTATGCGTATACATTTTTTAATAATTTATAAAACCTAATTGAACTTTTTATGGAATATGAACTTTTTATTTTTATTTTTTAACATTTTATATTTTTTATTTTGAATTATTTATTGGTCAAAATTAAATAAGATTTATGTTTATGTGTCTATATACATATAATTTAAAAGGGGCATAAAAACAAATTATAGAGGAGAATTTCCCTCTTCAATTTTATGAGGTTTAATCAATTAAATTCATCTTTCATATTTTATAGAGAGCAAGCACTTTTATATATATATTTAATAGATCTCATAAATTTTCTCATTTTATATTTTTCCATTGAAATATTTATTCACTATATTTGATTTCATTTTACAAAAACAAAAAAAAAAATGCGTCAGAAACAATTTTCATGCAAACTTGTTATACTTTTATACAATATTACACATTTTATAAGAAAAAATTAAAATAAAAACAAATGATTCATTTCAACACATCATCATTATGAAAATTTCATACCGGGACCGCATCATAAAAATTGTTAAAGATAATTTGAAAAAAAAAAAAAAAATCCATTTTAGAATGTTCATTATAAATGCAATTAAATTTAATAAACACAAACATAATGTGTATATATACTTGTGCAAAATAATAACAAAAAAATATGTAGGGCTGTTTTGTTAATCTTGTTAATTATAACATTTCTTAATGCTTATGTAATAGTTTTATGGATTATTTAAATTGAAAGTTATTGAATAATTTTGATTTCAGTAGGAATGTTACTTATATAAGTACTGTAACGCAAGATCGTCTTATTTAATAAATCAAAACATAAATATGAATTATGTATGTTTTAGTCTTCCTAATTAATCCAATGACATCAATCAAATAAACTGTTTTTGTTGGAGAACATAATTTTTTATTCCTTTCTCCACTTTGACAGCATTTTTAGGATTAAGATTCAGTTTAAGAAGTCATATTGACTTAACTAGGCGGTGACTAGCATGCCTGATTCAACATTGCCGGTATTCAACATTGATTGTTGTAAATGGATACGCTGTAATTATTTTCACATTAATATTTTATTTTATAATATTGTATAAGTACTAAGCTATAAAGTAGAAGTAGCGAGCTAATAATCTTATTGCAATATTAATATTTTCATTTTCAAAGAATAATACATTTTTGCTCACATACTAATTACGTTCAAAAGAAAATCTGAAGAGAATGCATTTCTTCTTATACACCACAAATGAAATTTAACACACCAAAAGTCTATTTATTGATTTCCTTGCCTCTAATTTCAAATTAGAAGATTTTAGAATAAAAATTTTTAAAATATATACTTAGTTAATTTTAGAAGAAGACCAAATTAATGTAAGGAAAGAAAAAATAATGAAAAAAATATTGACTTTTTAAGAACATCATTTTTGTAATAAGATGATCGTACGCATTTGAATAATTAATTTTGATTTTTATTTCACATACACACGTCATTTAAATTCGTCAACTCATAAAAAATAATTTTACTTATATTTCTGTTTTTTATACTATTTTTAGATACATAAATTTTTTTTGTTACTTTTTAATTTCTTATTTCCCATATATGAATAAATCGGATTGTATTTAATTTATACACTCAGAAAAAAGATTTATTTAAAATATTTTTTTAATAAAAACGTCTCATAGCACACAAGCATGCGAGTTCGCACCAATGCGTACCAAATTTTTATATCAATAAAACAGAACTACAATTGGCTCTGTTGGAACAGTTCGAAAAAATAATTAGTTAACAGTGGCCCAACCACAACAAAATTCATACACAAGAACTATATAATGCCGATTTGAATTTTAATAACAGACAAATTTATAAATGAAAATATTTAAATTTTTATTTCAAAATTATTCAATTGAAATTAATCGAATTAATTGCAATTAACCTAATAAATTCAAGATAGGTGAATACTTTAAAATGTTTTTTTATGGTCTAATTCAAGTATTTTAATTTGTAATTTTCCAAATGCATTTATTATAAAAAAAATTCCATTCAAATGAAATATTTATGCATTTTTAAAATTTGATTGGAATAAAATAATAAAATTTCATAATATTTTTTATTGGTGATTGAAAGTTTGTTCCATATGCAACAAATTTATCAAATATTTTCCGCCTTAGTTTCCTTTTTCCAAATTTTAGGCTATTTTAATTTCCATTTATAAATATGTGTGCAATATTATAAAAAACAAAAATAATTACATATATAACCGTACGCACTTATAATGTAAACCATTTAGGCGAGAT